GTTGGCCCCATAAAGATTACTCCCGTGATTGTCCGTTTGGTACTCAAGAAGGATGGGGTAAGCAATGGATGGCAGCTGCTGCAAGTTCCCACGACAAACCCCTTTCGTATAATACTTTAAAAATGAGTACCTAAAACCCAACGCGCGGACGAGTCGTGCCAAGAATTCTTTTCGAGTCACATGAAGAATTTCCGTCAAAATGTTTGTTTATTCTTTAGAATTTTGAAACCGCAACACATATTTCGAATTCAGGTCTGCGTGATAATTAGACTTAATGACTTGATTCAACACCGATTTAAAGCGTTTTGTAGCAGAGACCTATTGCAACTACTTTTAACTAATTTTGTCTGATTGTGTCCGAGTTTCATCGCTCGATATCTCCTACCTCGCTCTATCGGAAAATCGCTATACCATGATGCAATGGACGCCATCATCCTATCCTATCTTGTCCTTATGAAGCAAATTCCCCAGGTCAAATCCACCCTGCCTCAGCAAACGTTCCGATCTTCCATAGCACTCTTGAGGCCATATTCTGTCTCACAGGATAGAAATATTTTGTACTTTGTCAAAGTGCCTTTTATTTACTTCATTTTTCTGAAGATATTTCAATGCATTTGATAAGAGTTTAATTCCTCAGTCTCAAAAACATCGCTATTGTATGTAACGCTTTCTAGTTCGGCTATGGGCCAAGTGCATCTAAAATCCAGCGAATCTCCGCGATGGAGCGTTGGGCAAAAGAAAATTTTCCAGAGTCAGACGATGATCCTCATCACCCTGATGCTGTTATTCTGATCACGAAAAGGTAATTTGTCATATTCTAGTTTGAACTACGCATAATTCGATAAGTTTGTCTATACATTTGTTCCTATCTTGAATCCAGAAGTTCTTCTTAGTCGTAAAGAGGGGGGGAGGTGGGGGGACCTTCTTTCAACCCACCCATGTATGATTTAGATACATTTTTGTTTCATCGTAACCCGTTGGACCTCCAGATTACCATAGAAGCTCTTACCTTCGGCCTGTTTACTGGGAATTGGGGGGAGGGGGCATCTGTTAGATTCACCATTCATTGACTGTAAACTGCTTAGCAGTCTGGTAAAGTCCCCCGCACTGTGTTGTAAAGCGCCATGAGCTTAGGATATGAGCGCTACATAAATAAATATATCTTATTAACCAAGCGCGAGGGCCGTACTGGGAGAATATCGGCCCGAGGTCTTGACAGTACGGACCGAGCGCAGCGAGGTCCGTACAAAAAAGACCGAGGGCCGATATTCTCCCAGTACGGTCCCGAGCAAGCTTGGTTAATAAGAGATTTATTATACGACTGAAGTTCAAAGCGACACAAGTGCGGTATCATTCGGGACAATTCGGGACAGTGCCCGGTCCAATACCTAGAGAATATTGGACCGGTAATACAGCATTTTGATTGGTTGATTTTAGTTATTGGCCCTCTGACTGCCCGAGTCGTGTAATAAAAGTTATTATTATATTAATAACAACTAAGACCGACAATAAATACGAGAAGTAAGAGATATGAAAGTCACCTATTATCAAGTTATGCGCCCGAACGTTTTCAGCTATGTAGCTTGATTGATAATTTTATTTCCTTTTTTGTTTACAGGAGCTCTGGGGGTAAGTATATGTTTTTTCTCTTTTTGATCGTTTGTGTATATTTGAATACTCAGTAAAGTACACTCTCATTGCCTTTATTGCCATGGTTTACCGAAATGCGTTTTTAATCACCATTTTCAATATCAATGCAGGAAGATAAGAGTGATCTTCGCAGAACTGAACATGACCTGAAAAGTAGAGAATATGAAGGAATCATTGTCGTCATCATCATTGTGAATGTTATTCGGAGGTGTTTGGTCTTAAAGACGAAATGAATCATCATAAAATATATTCAGTAATATCAAATGCAAGATCTAGGAATAGGTTTGAAAGGAGTGTCCTTTTGACTTGCAGGGATTGCTAGTATCGGATCAACATGCCGCAGCTCCTTTGGCGCTGTCCTCTCCAACGACATTGGACTCGGAAGTGCCATTGTTGTGGCTCATGAGATTGCTCATACGTAAGTTAAATAGACCCGTTTACAATAGATTAAAATGAATAGCACTAAAAGCATGATCGTCTCCTTGTGGACTTCGAGCAAATCACGAAGGTTAAGGCAACGGAAATGCAACCCTAAAACCTCCCTTACGAGAGGATTGGGTGGGGTTGAATCCACTTATGCAAGATATTTGCTATTTTAGCGGCAGAAATGAGTCTTTTTATCACTTCATGTTCTATTCTTTTTTAGGATGAGCGTGGAGCACGACGGATCCGGTGCGGCACTTTCCTGTGAGAATAATAAAAATATCATGGCATCCTCTATACCTAGTGGACCTGGATCCATGAAATGGTCCGCATGTAGTCGGGAACGTTTGCAGGAGTTTTTAAGGTACTTTTCGCATCTAAGGATTTTGATAGGAAGCAAAGATAATCTGTTTCAGGGCTTGTGTTACTGATAAAGTGCCAAAGAAAAAGCTTCTCTGCACAAGAAAAGATTTTACACGAAGTGAGCATTGTTCTTCAGTACACTTAATGAAATTCACCGCGTTAATGTAGTGATAATTAAAACTGAAATTTCATACAAAACAGCCCATCTAATAGGCAATTTCCGAATTACTTTTGGCTTCTTTTTCAAAACGAGGCCTGTTGCTTAACCATTCTTGTGAAAATGAGTTTAATTTGCATGTGAATGAAAACTTATAATCATATGAAAGGATGAGCACCAGGACTCGTTTTGAAAATGAGGTCAAGGGTAATTCGGAAATGGGCTATTAAGATATGTGGCTAAAAGTCGTTCTTATGTTTTGAGCTAGGCTTTGAACATACGATGATACAAAATAACTATCGCCTCAATCAATATTCATTTACAAAAAAGTATATTTATTCTATGCAACAAATTTTTCCTGTTACTAGTAATTATATTTGACCTCTTCGCAATATGAGTTTTGAATATCAATATAAAGACATAAATGAATTAATCAGTTCATCAGCCATTTGTCAATTGCAATCCTCGGGTGGGTCAGCCATTTCAACAATCTGTCATTTGTTTGGTAACAGCCAAAGATCACACTGTTTAGATGACATTCCACCAGTTTCCGGCATCATCAAAACTCCGAAAGAATTTTACGGTAAACTGCCAGGTCAAGTTGTAGACCGAGATGAACAATGCAGAATGATTTATGGAAAGACCTATTACGCATGCCCACAACGTAGGGTAAGTGACGTATAAAGCATCACACAGCAACCTCTTTCTATTGTTATCGCCGGAAGATTTCTGCCGAAAAGCTCGTAACTGGTCTTTAATGCGACGGCATGACACTCTGGCTTTATTGGGGAAGTGGGTAACGTAAATTTGCGATCGATTGCGAAAAGAAATTCTAGCAGATGAGCCAGTACACACTGTTACCAGTCCGAGTGGGTCCTAGATGACATAAGTAATAGATAATTTGTGATTGGGTATCGTTTCTCACTTCCGCAGACAAACTGTGATGAACTTGGATGCACCAACAATGGATATAGGTGCATTTTATCTTCAACGTCTCCTGCAGATGGGACAAGATGCGGAGACAGACATGTAATTAAACCTACCAGCATTTATTTATTAGAATCGCATCATTGCATAAATCCTCGCATTCTGATTGGTTAACGAAGCGAGGTATTTAGCGTAGAATTGCGAGTTGAAAACCAGACTAATTGATATTGTTTCGCATCTACGCATACATAACAACCATAAGTAATGCTATTTTCCTTTTTTATCGTTTTTATCCAATTATACGATTCATGAAAAATCCATTACTTGACTCACGAATTCTGCGTTAAATTGCGCTTGAAAACCAATAAAAGGCCGGATACTCGATAAGTCCGGATAATCGAGGTTCGACTGTACCACACTCATCACTTCGCGAATCATGCGATATCGGTTTCCGCGTGCAATTTAATGTGGAATCCCCTCATCAAGTAATGAACCTCTCATAAAATACCTTTCTCGTTCGTAATTGCAAAAAAACAATTTATAAAATGTACAAGACATTTTCATTTCATTTGTCTTCGATCCTTCAGAAAACGGATATTCATTCAGCGTACTTACTCGATTAAGTACGTAAATTAGAACGCTTGGAAATCAAATAGCTTTTTCTCTTTGATATGACAATGCAACCTCCAACAATATCTATGCAGAGGGTATGTTTCTAAAGAAATTGTGGTACTGCGTCAATACGGAGTACAACAAGATAATTTGGTTTTATCAACTAAGTTGATCATGTAAACTGGCCTTGGAAAACAATTTCTAAAACTGACGTTTCAAACTTTAGCCTTTCGTTGGCGTGAATTACAATATCTCCTTTATTGACTAAATACTTAGCGGGAACAATCATGAAAAACGAGCGAGCTGATGGTGGCACTGCGGTCTCCATTGAACCGTCGGTTGAGCTTGTTGTCCCAGAGTCGCAGCAAGCCCAAACAACATTTGCAAAGGGAACTATTTATTGTAATTGCTATCCCTGTCATGACTGAAGCCTTTTTCTAACCTCTCTCTCTCTCTCTCTCTCTCTCGCTTTTTCAAGTGGTGTATTAATGGTCTGTGTGTTGATGACGGGTCGCGCGTTATCCATGGCCGCTGGAGCGACTGGTCAGTTTTCTCCAAATGCACTCGTCCCTGTGGTGGAGGGGTTCAACACAGATCAAGAACTTGCACCAACCCAGCGTAAGAACATCAAAAAAAATTTTCGGTCCATACATTCTATCTGGCTTTAGACTATTAGATACTAGATGAAATGAATAAGCTAGCTTTGAAATAGTCCAAGTTTGTGAGAGGAAAAACTGACTGAGTTAAACATTGATTTAAACCTCTCATTTGCAGACCAAAGAACGGTGGAAGGAATTGTATCGGGCCGAAGGTGGGACATTGGAAAGTTTGCAACCCGCAGGTCAGATTTTTCTTTGCATTTTTTTTATTTATTATTTTTTTTTATGTTTGCATTCTGGTACATCATGATCATGTCTTAATCGCAATTTTTCGTTATTTTAATGTATTTCTTTAACAGCCATGTCCAGCCGCCTCCAAAACTTTCCGTCAACTCCAGTGTGAGGCTATTGACCCCGAATATCAGGCTTATTATACTTCAGGTATAATTATTTTCGTTATCGCAGTTTATCCAAACCGTTATCGTTACCGTTACCTTGACCGTCGTCCGTCGTTATCGTTATCGTTATAAATTCAAAGTACGAAATCGCTATAAAGAAATTTGATATCATCGGAGTATTACGTATTTAATGATAACTTTTTATAAAATGCCTTGTTTAATTCTTGCTTTATGGATCGAAATTTTCCATTCTGGTGACTGACAGGCCACGACCTCTATCAGTAAATCGTAGCAATCTCAGTTATAGCTCTACAGAAAACGTTAATTAACAAAAAAATGTTTCAATGTCCTCTATAAGATCACTGTTCTTTGGTATGTCGAAAAAAGCAAGCAGCATTTCCTCAACAACGAGACGTCGAGAATGGGACGAGGTGCTTCAGTGATCCCACAATCCCGGATGTCTGTATTCAGGGAAAGTGCAGAGTAAGACAAGAATTGAATAATATTTCATTTCTTTCCATTTTTTTCTTTGATTTTTTTTGTCCACGGGATGAATTTGATTCTGCAAATAGATAGCTATATAATTTTTTTTTCAAATAAACTAGCGAGTATCCTGCAGTAATGAATTGGATTCTGAGGTGAGACTGGATCGCTGTGGGGTTTGTGGAGGAGATAGTTCAACATGCAGATTTGTTCGAAAAAAGTGGTACGAAAGATGTCCAGGATATAGTAAGTTGAGTAATAACATCAACCGTTTTTCGTTCAAAGCCTAAAATATCTCAGAGCCTAAAGTATCTCCATCGTCACAATTCACGTTAATTGTACAATCGACGGTAGGAAAATACTAAAACGCTTGTTTGTCGTTTCTCTATTGTAATGCAATGGCATTTCCAGTTTCACAGAACGCAAATTCAACTTAGTTTTTTTCCATTATATACTTAATAACATGAATACATTCCTAAATGATCTCAACTTTGAAGCTTTTATAAAGCAGCATGGGGATAAAACATAACAGTAATGTTCAAGAGTAAAAGCTGATCAGCAGTGTTATTAGGAATATTTATTGCTAATGATTGTTAACTGTCATACCCAAACGCCGTGTTAAAAATTACGTCCATGCTCGAGTCTCTTTACACAAGTCGTACGAAACCCAGCGAGTACATCTGAAACTGGACATGGTCGTTCGTATATGTGCCACGGCTTTGATTTACCACAGATATCTCGAATTTTTGTAACATTTATTTGTATGTCTCCTTATGAACGTTCAGAAGAGGTGTGTACAGTTTTTGAGGTTCCTACGGGTTCCACGTCAGTCTTTGTGAAGCAAGACTCGGCAGATTATAACCTACTTGGTGGGTACAATTTAAACTAAAATATAAGTTTAAGTAACAAGCCACGTTGATGTAAAATGGATTCGATTTGGTTGCGATTGTATTTGCTCTTTAATTTGTTTAGAAAACTTGTGTCACACTTTAAACCAACAAAGTACCATATTTTCTGCGCTTTAGGCCCTTTGTTTGGTTCTAATTTTAGTTTGCTTTGACCCCTAGCAACATTCCCCTTTCTTCTGGTTGGCCGTCGTTTTTAATTCGACTATATATTTTTGCGATTATGAATGCAAAGACCTCATTGTTTTTGTAATAGCCCTTTGGCAAAGCAAGCCACTTTTCAACAGTTCAGAGACACAATTTGATCGGATACAAGCTCAAACGATCAAAATGTTTTAGGGAATCAGTATAATCCTGATCTAAACCTTTACAGATGTTTGCCAAAGCTCAATAACTGTAGTTTTAATCTAAGAAATAGTCGTCGATATCCCTTCCTCATTTTCAAAACAAGCTCTTTTTTTTTACAGCAATTGTGTATAGACGATTTTGTTTGACAATTTTATTGGAACTGCAAATTTGAATCTTCAAGAAACTACCTATCTAAACGTTCAATGGTAACTCACAAAGCATTTGAAACTTTAACTACCTGCTTACTCATCGAATATGTTTAATATCCTAAAGGTATCAAGAATAAAGAAGGTGAATACGCAATACCAATGCCCTCCTGGAGTCGAACGGTGTATGCAGCTGGAACTAAGATTCAGTATTATCACAAGAATTCACTCGATATCAACACGATTACCATTCCCGGACCTACAACAGAAAAACTTACCGTTGTGGTATGTGCGTGAAGCAGTTAGTGCCTTGCTTATGACTAAATAACTCAAGGGGTTAAATTAGTGACTCGCAATTAAAATAAAGTTTATTTGATAAAGCGAATAGGAAATCATTTCCTTATAAAGAATTTCTCTTTTAGTTCTATTCTGTAGGTCGCAAACACACAGGAGTTTGGTACGAGTTGTATGACCCAACTCTTTCATCTAATATCGGAGCTGACGATGTTGAATGGAATGTGACAGACTGGGGCGAGTGCTCTTGGAAATGCGCTAAAGGTGAGAAAAAGACAAGATGAAATAAGAAATGTCTGTTTGAAATAAATGGTTATCTCTGCAATTGAGTGTAGAACAAAGAAATGCAATGTCATCCGGTTTACTCACAACACCACTAATGAAAGTTCAAGTCTAACCTGTTAATTTCATGAATTTTGGGTGATTAGATAAAAAAGACAAGAACCTATCTCTTCCCATTTGATTTTATCAAAATAACGCTTTCTTCTCGTATTTAAAATTTTCAAAAGAACAAAACCCACATAAGAATTGAAAAATGAATCTTCTTCTGTAACTTTTTCGAAGGAAAACAGAGCCGAAGAGTTCTTTGTACAAGGAAAGATGATGGATCATATGTGGAAGATAAGGTTTGCTTGAAGAAGTCTAAGAAGCCAGCTCAGGAACAGTATTGCAATACACAGCCATGCGAGCCTCAGTAAGCAAAAAAAAAAATCTAATTCATTTTCATGGTTCTTAATTTGATATATTTTTCATAACATGTTATAATATGTGTTATATTCAAAAGTAGTATTTGTAAAATTGGTTCTTTCTAACGCGTCCTATGGTAAGAGATTAAATTTTGGTGTGATTAAACACAGTAAAGCATCTCTCAACATTATTTTCAGCATTTATTTTGTAGTCAAAAAGACATTAATAATTCATGAGCTGATTAGCCCATCACACGAGGCAAATCGATCACGTGTATAAACCTTTATAACCGGTATAGAATGATCATTCTGAAAAGCCCGGAGAGGGTTTTGATTTCGGTCTCGGGGAAATCGGGGTACAATTCATAAACAAAGAAATCATCACGGAATTATTGATGAAAATACGATTACTGTGATCTTGATGTAAAGATCACTAGAGATCTTTATATAAAGATCACATTAATTATAATACCAAATTATTCCCCAAAGGCAGCATACAAAAACATTAACCGCAGTAAACAAAAAAGTTTATTTTCCTGATAAATTCTCGTTAGGACAGAAATTCGTTCTTTTACAATTTCCCATTGTTCACAAAATTAATTGTGCAGTCTTGAATACTCTCAACTTCAACTCTAAATCCTATCTCCTCCAAGTTGGCGTCTTTATTTCATCTTGAACTTTGCCACTCGCCAAAAATTTTGTAAGCCCACTTTGTGGCATACCGAGTAGCCCTTGGAACACAACTATCCAAGTAATCTTTCTCTTCCTTCTTATTTTTGGTTCTCGAAACACGCCTTTGGGCGGTATTTCAAGGAAAAGCTTTCTAAACTTTAACAGCAGCCGAACAAGGAGTACTTTTCCCCTCTGTATGTAATTAACTTTTAATGCATTCAAATCACGTTTAGAAAAATCCCTAGAGAGGCACGGGTTTTTGAAGTTATTTAAGGCATTCATATAACGTTTTGAAAAATCCCTAGAGAGGCACGGGTCTTTGAAGCTATTTAAAAAACTCGCTGTACGTGTTTTATCGGGTCTAAAAACACTTGGCTACGCCTCGTGTTTTTAAACCCGTTAAAACACGTATTTCAGTACTTCAGCAATTGTACTTCAGCAATACTTCACAGTACTTCACAGTACTTCAGCAATTGTAAACTTATGTACTACTGCCTTCACTGGAAGAACGCTTTTTAGAAAGACGGTCTTAACATCTTTAAGAACAGAAGCCTTTGCACATATTTCAATAATATTTTGTCTTATGGCAGTTGGTACAGTTCAGAATGGAGCTCTTGTTCCAGAACGTGTGGGAAAGGTGTCCAAAAACGAAAAGTGCACTGCCGGCGTAAGCTAACGCAGTGGAAATTTCAGATCCTTCCAGACTCCTCTTGCAGTGGCACTAAACCCTCTGGAGGAACACAGAGGAACTGCAACGAGATCATTTGTCACGCGGAGTGGAGAACTGCTGCTTGGTCCAAGGTAACATTGTGTAGATCATTTTATTACATGATACTGATGAAATACCAAAATTTTTCCTTTTTACTAAAAAATCATAACTTCATCGCGCGCAGTGAAGATACTATTTTTATCTCTCACGCGTGAGGATATTGATGTCGCCATGGTTACTAACATGATTTTTCTCTTCATTAGAATTTTGACTTTTTGGAACAGAAAATATAAGTATTATTGTCTTTATTTCTCCCTTATAACTTTATATCCGAGTTTCATAACATTTCTGTGACAGGCATTTTGCGATAGGTGACCATTTTAATTGCACTATTTTGCTGTTTCGAAAATGAATACAAAAAGTTGTGTTTCATCAGTATCTATGAAATAAACAGAATATTACACTGCCGCCTGGGGATACGAATTTTATGAACTCGTGCTGTAAGTATCTCTTACTCGTTCACTTCGCTCACTTGTGAGAGATGCTTACATCACTTGAACATAAAATTAGTATCCCCGCGCGGCAACGTAAAATCCTCTATATATAGATATATATATATGGATCAATCCAGTTCTACAATACATCGTAGAAACATCGAGAAATTCATGTCTAGGTTCACGAGTTAAGTGGTGTTTCTTCTTTTAATTCTTTACAAGACTCAGTTGGGAGTTTTTCATCGTAATTTTTCAAGTTGATTTATATCTGGGAGAAACAAAAACCTATGTTAGTTTGAAGACACGTTTCTTTTCACATTACCTCCCTCTACCAAGAGTACAAACTCGGTCCTGACGAAGTATTAGAAAGAGAGGGGGTTGCTTGCGAATCTGCCATAGGTTTTCACCCGTGTGGAGAGACAATATTTTAGCCATTTTAATGATGCTCCGGTACTGTGAGCCTCTCGTATGTAGACTTCGTCTTTCCGTTTTTTTTTTTATATCGGGAAATCATAAAACCTCTCTTCAATGATCTTGATTTAGTTCTCGACTGATACTTTTCATGTTTTGTCAGTGTTCCTCAACATGCCAAGGAGGTACGAAGAATAGAAGCCTCGTTTGCAAGAGACGCAATGACCGCGGAGAATTGGTAAAATTACCTGAGATTCTTTGTCACCATGCTCCTAAACCGAGTCCTACCACTATGGACTGCAATACGAATGTACCTTGTCCAAGTAAGATATCTTTTAAGTTTGTATTATGAATAATAACTATTATGCATTAAGTTTGCGTAAGGCCCTCGGTATAAATATCAATAAATTACTAACTAATATAACGTTGATATTACCCTTTGAAAAATAAAAGTACGTGTTATTCTATCACCTAATAACATTGCGGAAATGTTCCATGCTTCTTACGAGACAGTCCTTTTTCAAATTGTTAATTACCTGCTGCTACTCTGCCAAGATTTGAATCTGCAAGCAATGAAAGCCTTAGTACCGCGACTTAAGTTTGTTCAAACTGGTTGATCATTGTTTCCGCTATTTATCGGCTCTTATTGTATAAACTGCGGTAATTTGCAAGGATTTCCAGCCCTGAGAAAAGCTGTAATCGCACTCAAGTGTAAAGTGTCGACAATGTTTTTACGTATGTTTGATATCGCCAATCAGCTGTTGTCACTTAACCGCCTTTCGCATCACTCTCTCAGTATTTAAAGACCATGGTGTTTAGAGAATCAACATAATATACATGGTTGCTCGTAGATATGGAATTTCTCGTATTGATTTCAATATCTCACTCACGTTCGTTGCGCTCACTCGTGAGATATTAAGTTCAACACTAAACTATAGAAACTCAACATCCACGTGCGCTTAAGTATAATTCTCTTTTCAATCATGGACCCAGATCTTATATCTTTCCATCAATCTTAGCCCCACAGCTGTTGCTTAGATACAGAGGACTTGGCTGCTTTAAAGATGGAGAACCACCTGCTTTTCCAGTACTTGCGAAAAATTTCCGTAATGAAGGAATCGATTGGTCCAACATTGACGACACCATTCAAAAATGTGCAAAATTTGTCTATGATAATTTTCCCGACAACAGAGTGTTTACCCTTGAGTTCTATGGAGAATGTTGGACAGGAAGAGAGGCAGAGCATTCTTATAATAAGTACGGAGCTTCCAGTGAATGTTGGAACAACGTCGGAAAAGAACACGCTTTTTATGCATACGAGTTTTATTAAGGTGAGAGGTGAATGGAGAAAATTCCTTCACTGCTAATAAGTACCTTTTCTTATTATAGGTTACAAATTAATCTGGGATAGCTTTTTGCTTCACTTCGTCCTTTGCCTGCTTAAAAAAAACAGAATCAACTGTCTCTAATTCTGTATGTAACTAAACATAAGATATCTTAGTCGAGTCAGCCTCTGCAGTAATGAACTACCTGGTCATATGGTAGGTAAGTCTATACTCGACCCAAGTGGCCCTTCAGCCGCAGCTTACATCCTATGTATCCTAGGAGTATTACTACTACTTCCTGGATGGCAATGTAGAAGTAGTGGCCTTATTGTTAGTGTGCTCGACTCCGGATCGAGTGGTCGAGATTGGAGCCCTGGCCGGGGACATCGTGTTATGTTCTTAGGTAAGACACTTCACTCTCAAAGGGTGTGGGTAACCCTGCGATGGACGAGCATCTCATCCTGGAGGGGAATAGAAATACTCCTGGTCGCTTCATGCTACAGAAACAGGAGATAAGCGCCTGCCCCCCTGATTGGCCACTTGGTTCATCTACAGACCTAACCTACTTGTTATTTGTACTTTGATTCGCCGTACGGGCTCGGCAAAATACGCCCCAACCCGTAAAAATACTGAGCGATACTACACAACAA